GTTTTTCAAAGAGGTTTATGGGACCTTCAAAAGTCTAGGAGTCCCGCATGGCAGCTACGGGAAAACAGCAGTTCAGTACATCTGCAGTGTTCTCTGAGGTTCAGACATTGGGGCAGGGGGTAAGAAAGGTATGCAGAATTAAAACATTCCCAAGTCCCAGGTATGGCCTGGTTGACCATTAACTCAGTCTTTGTCTCTGGAGGAGTTTGGGAGAAGTTATCACTTTATTATTGGAACAGAACAGGGATAAGGTAGTCTCCTGAGTTTTGGGCTGTTTTCTCTAAAACAATAAGAAGAAGGCGTTGCTTGTTTGAGGAGCAATTTGCCTTCCATATAAAATTGCTTATCTGTGCATCTGGTCCTGTATGGAGAGCTCATGGTGATTGCAAAACTGACTGCAGTAGAGAATCAGATCAAAGGGCACAGACACAAAATTGGGAGATTTTTAGTTAAGCCACAGATTAAAATATGCAGTCATATTTGAATATGTGGAAAATGAAGAGCAATGGGGCAACAAAACCACTCCAATTGTTTCCCTGACACAAATCTCAGAAATCAAATCTCAACCATCTTCTCCCAAAGATTTATCTCCTGCAGGCCCCTGCAAAGATAAGGGTCATCATGAGGTCCAGAAAGGAAGAAGTGGAACAAATAATTGATTGCAATGTTTACTCAAGGGAAGTTTATAAGATATACATTATTCTTGGCTGGGAAGGTGGCTTAGTGGTAGAGGGCTTGCCTGGCATGCATGAAGCCCTGGGTTCGATTCCACAGCACCACATAAACAGAAAAAGCCAGAAGTGGTGCTGTGGCTCAAGTGGTAGAGTGCTAGCCTTGAGAACAGGGAGGCTCAGGGAGAGTGCCCAGGCCTGAGTTCAAGCCCCAGGATTGAAAAAAAGAAAGAAAGAACAGAACAGAACAGAAAAGAAAGATATACAGCATCCTTACAACAGCCCCTTGTTCTCAGGTAGGATGCCTCCCCCTAACCCGTATATGCATTGGCAGGAAATCCTGAAACCCAGGTGGCTGGGGGCCCCATGTGCCTCAGCACCCAGTTAACCTCTGTATAAATCTCATTTAGACCTTGTTCAGGAAAGGTCCTTTCTCTGTCGAATTCACATCCTCTTTTTTTTTTGTTGGTCATGGGGCTTGAACTCTGGGCCTGTCCCTCAGCTCTTCAGCTCAAGGCTAGCACTCTACCACTTGAGCCACAGCGCCACTCCTGGCTTTTTTGCTTATGTGGTGCTGAGGAATCGAACTCAGGGCCTCATGCATGCGAGTCAAGCGCTCTGCCACTGAGCCACCTTCCCAGCCCTCTAATTCACATCCTCTTTTGGCCTCTTCTTCAGGACCTATATTAATGATTTCTACCAACTTTAGGGGCTGCCTTTCCTGCCATCCTCTGGGTCTGTTAGAGAAAAAAAGAAAGACCCTTAGAAGGTGTTTCCAGTAGCTCTTCTCCACTAAGATCCCGAAAACATACCACATTCTTTTGCTCTTTCTTGACTCTCTTTTTCCACCAATCCTTACCCTTAACCTGCTTCATCCCAGTCTGTAAAACACATCACCTAATATGCTGGGTACTTTAATTACTGTCTTTATTCTTGTGTGTGTGTATGTGCGCGCGCGTGCGTGCTTTCTTTTCTTTTCTTCTTATTATGAAAACACTGAACAGACTGGTTACAATTACATGGGCAAGGTAATGAGAGCACTTCTTTCTTTTCTTTTTTTTTTGGGGTCCAGTCCTGGGGCCTGAACTCTGGGCCTGGGCGCTGTCCCTCAGCTCTTCAGCTCAAGGCTAGCGCTCTACCACTTGAGCCACAGCGCCACTTCTGGCTTTTTTCTTTTCTTTTTTTTTTTTTTTGGTCTGGTCGTGGGTCCTGAACTCTGGGCCTGGGCACTGTCCCTCAGCTCTTCAGCTCAAGGCTAGCACTCTACCACTTGAGCCACAGCGCCACTACCGGCTTTTTTCATTTTGCTTTATGTGGTGCTGAGGAATCAAACCCAGGGCCTCAGGCATGCAAGGCAAGCGCTCTACCACTGAGTCATCTTCCCAGCCCCCGGCTTTTTTCTTTTTGCTTATGTGGTGCTGAGGAATCGAACCCAGGGCCTTAGGCATGCAGGGCAAGCGCTCTACCACTGAGCCACCTTCCCAGCCCAATGAGTGCATTTCTTATCAAGCATTGTTGCCTCCTCCTTTGTTTCCCCTTCCCATCCCTTCCCATCCCCCCACTCTCTCCGCCGCCCCCCCCCCCCAAAGTTGTAAAGTTCATTTTCGACATAACATCTTGTACATCTCATTGTTGCAATGGGTCCACCTGTATCTCTATTTAAACAATTGGTTTTTTCCCTTCCCCTCCCCAAATTATACCAACATCAAATACAGTGAAAATGGGTTATACCATGGGGGAGGGACATACAAAGCAACAAAGAAATCATCTTATAAATATCTTAGAAACAATCGTAAGAAAGAAAAAACATTTGAGTCCTTAACTTGGGGTTCATTTCACTTAACATCAACTTATCTGACCATTTCTGCTTGTCTCAGGTTTCTGAGTAGGTGGTACACAGAAGATGCTCAAAGTCAGCCCAGGCAGACAAATCTGAGCCTAAACCTGGAAGGGGAGGGTGGCTCAAATGGTAGAGCTAAGGGATAGTACCCAGGCCCTAAATTCAAGCCCAAGTACCAGCACAAAAAGAAAGAGAAGGAGGAGGAGAGGGAGTCGGAGGAGGAGGGAGAGTCGGAGGAGGAGGGGGAGGAGGAGGCAGTGGCAGAGGTTAAGGAATCAAGGGGCAGAACTGCTTAATCCTACATATACAAAACAAAATGAGTGCCTGGGAATGTGGCTTAGTGGTAGAGTGCTTGCCTAGCAGGCATGGGGCCCTGAGATTCCTCAATACCACATAAATTAAATTAAAACAAACAAAAAACAAAATGAGATTGGGTGCCAATGGCTCATGCCTGTAATCCTAGCTATTTAGGAAACTGAGCTCTGAGAATCTCTGTTCAAAGCTAGCTCAAGCTAGCTTTGTGAGACTCATCTCAAATTAAGCACCAAAATAGCCAGACATTGAGCTTGGGCTCAAGTGGTAGAGCACCAGACTTGAGCAAAAAAGCTTGGGGACAGCACCCAGGCCTTAAGTTCAAGTCCCAGGACTGGCAAAACAAAACAAAACAAAAGTTTGCATATGCCTAGTTGAGAAAAGTATTATAATAGTGCTTACCTCTAGGGAGGTTTCAGTTTTAGTAGGGTTTTAGTAGGGTTATGGGATTTTAGTAGGGTTTTAGTAGGGTTATGGGATTTTTCTTTTGGCGGTACTGTGGCTTATTTATTGTCCTTTAGCTTTTTTGCTCAATGCTGGCACTCTGCCCCTTGAACCATACTTCCACCTTTTTGGCAGTTAATTGGAGATAAAAGTCTCATGGATTTTCCTGCCTGGGCTGGCTTTGAACCTTCATCTTCAGATCTCAGCCTCCTGAATAGCTAGAATTATAGGTCTAAGCTACTGGTACCCAGCCAGTACTGTGATTTAAACTCAGCCTTGCACTTTCTAGGCAGATACTCTGTCACTTAAGCTACACCTCCCATGTTAGAGATATAGAATTTTCAATTTGATTTCCTTCTTTGCTTTTGGATTTTGCCCATGTTTTTTTTTTTTTTTAAGTTCTTAAGCTAAGAAAGGTAGATTATGGTCTTTCTAAACAAAGCACAGGCCGGGCGCTGGTGGCTCACGCCTGTAATCCTAGCTACTCAGGAGGCTGAGATCTGAGGATCGCGGTTCAAAGCCAGCCCGGGCAGGAGAGACCGTGAGACTCCTATCTCCAATAAACCACCAGAAAACCGGAAGTGGTGCTGTAGCTCAAGTGGTAGAGCACTCGCCTTGAGCTGAAGAGCTGAGGGACAGCGCCCAGGCCCAGAGTTCAAGCCCCATGACCGACCAAAAAAAAAAGCACAGGATTAGTTCAGGATTATTTGTTGCTCTCAAAAACGTATACCTTCTTATAGCCTCTGTGTAATGATCACAGTTTCCCAACTCTACCCAGACCTCTAGTAGTCTGAACGCTGCATCCCCACTGAGTGTGGGAGCAGAACTTATAGGGCAACAGGTTTAGAGAAATGAGTGTGAGATGGCATTGGAGAATCTCTATGTGGGACGCTCTAGGCAGTGGGCCAAGGACAGAGTGGTAGGACAGGGGAGGGTCAGTTGTGTGCTCTGGCCCTTATCTTTGCCTCTGGCTCTGATTTCTAATAAGCACCAAGCAGCTGTCACTCAGGAACCTTATGATTATTCTCTCTCTCTCTCTCTCTCTCTCTCTCTATCTCTCATCTTCAAACAGGATCTTATATGTAGAACAAGCTAGTTTCTATCTCATGATCTTTTTGCCTCAGCTTCCTGAGTTCTGGGATTAGATGTCCACTGCAATGCCCAGCTTTACCATGTCTTTGTGTATATGTTGGTACTAGGGCTTGAACTCAGGGCCTGGGCACTATCCCTGAGCTTTTGTTTGCCCAAGACTAGTGCTCTACCACTTGAGCCCACAGCTCCACTTCTGGCTTTTTGGTGGTTATTTGGAGGTAAGAGTCTCATGGGCTTTCATGCTCAGGCTGGATCTGAACCTTGATCCTTAGATTTCAGCCTTCTGAGTAGCTAGGATTATAGGCACGAGCCACCAATGCTTGGTATATCCTCTTCCTCCCTCCCTCCTTTCCTTCTTTTAAAAATGGTATTAGGGTTCAAACTAAGACCCTTATTATTTAAGTCCTATCTCTAGCCCTTCGCCAAATCTCTTGAAGGTGAAGATTCTACAATTTTATTGTATTTTCCTCATTGCCCGAGATATAACACCTACTGTTTCCTTCTCTTTCTCTGAGGTGTTTCTAAGAACTCAGATCCCTCCTCAGTGCACTCTCTCACCAGGGTCAGAGGGGACTTCTGCTTGGTCACTCATGGGAACATCAGAGTCTTTGCACACGGGTATGAAAATGCCACATAACGTCTAATGTCCTCTCAATTTTTATTGGCTCTCAGTTCCCCAGGATACCCCGTTCATTTCTCTGCCTCAGTGTCTCAACACTTTGGTATCATTGAACTCAGACACGACTTTGCCGTCCACAATCCTGCGGGTGGTGGTTTTTTGGAGGGTTTGCATGGAGTTGCTGCTGTCCAGGGCATCGCTGAGACTGCAACAGAAGATATAACCCTCATTATAAACCCACAGAGCCGAAGAGAAACAAGGGAGGTGGGCAAGAAATAAAAAAAACAAAAACCTCCGGACCCCTACCTTTATCTCTGAATTCCTCTTAGCACTTTCTCCAGAAAAAGAGAAAATCAAGGCTAAATTTCGCTTCTATCCTAAGTACAGCTAGGGCAATAGTTAATCATTCTTTTTGCCGGGGAGGGACCCTCTAAACTGACAGAGGGTACCCACAGACTACCAGCCCAGTGTTCAAAGGATCTCAATATTGTGTTCTATGTCTTAGTGTGGGTAGGAGAGCCCCCACTCCCCCCACTCACCTGAAGTCCTCCCCATCTTCCAGGAGGCGGCGGTAGGTAGCAATCTCGGCCTCCAGCTTGACCTTGATATTCAGCAGAGCCTCATACTCCTGGGTCTGGCGCTGCCCTTCTGCTCGAGTCTGTGCCAGTTCAGACTCCAGGTGCAAGAGGACACCATTGAGCTGCTCTATCTGCATGGTGTAGCGTGTTTCCACATCCGTCAGGCTGTTCTCCAAGCTCTCCTTCTGTTGGACACAGGAAGGTAGAGTCAAGCTCAGTCCAGAATTAAGGGAATCAATGATGGGAGGGGTAGGATTTGAACTGAGACCAACTAACAGAGGTTTCTTTTTTTGGCCGGGGGGTGGGGGGGAGTATTCTTGAGTTGCTGGGACAAGGGACCAAAGGGTACTCACCAGGCTTTTCATGGAGTCCAGTTCAATCTCCAAGGCCTGGTATGTGCGTCTCAGCTCTGTGACCATCATCTCCGCATCTGCAAGTTCTTTGGACTTCGAGGTGACCACTGTGGTGCTCTCTTCAATCTGCAGGGTATTATAGAATTCATCAGGTCTAGCCTTCCTTGGCTGCCTTCCTCCCACACCCTGGTAGCCAGCCTTTCCTCATTGCATACCTGCTGGGACCAGTGCTTGTCCAGTTCCTCTCGGTTCTTCCGAGCCAGCTCCTCATATTGGGACCGGATGTCCTCCATGATCTTGTTGAGGTCCTGAGACTTGGGGGCATCTACCTCCACCGTCAACCCAGAGCTGGCAATCTGGGCCTGGAGACCCTTGATTTCCTAAAGAAGGTAGGAACGAAAATCAGGAAGGCTTAATTCCAAGTGAGATGTCATTGTCTGTCCTGAAAAGAGCAGTTGGAGAAGAGACTAGGAGAAACCTTGAGCTTATACTCTATACTCTATGCCAGTTCAGGGGTCCAAATATGTAGTCACTCATTGCCTGTGCCTGTCACTCCCAGGTGTTTTCTCTTTTCACTTTATCTTGTCCTATCACAAACTGGTTGGCCTTTTTTTTCGGGGTGGGTGGAGGCATGCCAGTCCTGGGGCTTGAACTCAGGGGTGCTGTCTCTTAGCTTTTTTGCTCAAGGCTAGTGCTCTACCACTGGAGCCACAGCACCACTTCTGACTTTTTGGTGGTTAAATGTAGACTTTCTTGCTCGGCCTGGCTTTGAATGTTGATGTTCAGATCCCAGCCTCCTGAGTAGCTAGGACTACAGGAATAAGCCACTAACATTTGGCTTTATACCTTCTCTAGGAAGCTCTACCCATACCAGCTCCCTTTCTCACCCATACCATCTGGACCTCATCACACCATAGCTCTGGTGAGTCACAGGGTAAGTGTCACTCACAGCCTGGTAGTTTTAAACATCCATGCAAGCTGCTTGCTGATGGCCAGTCCTATCTACCCTCCGATTGCTTGTCTTGGCCCCCTTGGTCCCTGTGTACCTCCTCGTGGTTCTTCTTCATGAACAGCAGCTCCTCTTTCAGAGCCTCGATTTCTGTCTCCAGCTGTAGCCGGGTGATATTGGTGTCATCGATAACCTTGCGGAGCCCGTTGAGGTCGGCCTCCACAGACTGGCGCATGGCCAGCTCTGTCTCATACCTACAGGAAGAGATGAGCAGTGGGACCCTCATCTCTAATCCAGAATTTCCTCAAACCCAGGCCATCTCCTAGGCGCAGTCCTGTGCCCATTGCAAACCAGTGATCAAAGTCGGGAAGCAGGTGGTCCCTCATCACCATTCTTGGCACTTGGGGAACAGTACCCTTAAACTATGGCACAAATGAATAGTTAAATAAATAGATTGATGGATTGTAGTTCTCTGCCAGCATAGAGCCCATATCTAACACAGACCCAGAAGAGCACCGTTATCCCCAACTCCAGCTCCCCCTGAGACTCACTTGACTCTAAAGTCGTCAGCAGCAAGGCGAGCATTGTCAATCTGCAGGACGATGCGGGCATTGTCCACAGAACTTGCAAAGATCTGAGGGGATTACAGAGAAAGCTTGCTTTATGAGTGGAGAAATCCAAAGATGGTGGGCTGTGTGGGAAATGTGTGTCTCTGTGAAACCTACTGGCAGAAACAGCCAGAAACTCTCTGTGTGCATCTTCTGATTCCATCTGTGTATTCCCTCTCCCCCACCCCCCAGCCCCAATTCCCTCCTTTCTCTGGAGGCCCAAATCCCAGCGAGCTCTCTGCTCTTCCTGCTGGGCCTGGGTTGGCTGGCCTAAACGGAAATGAACAGCCACTGGCAAGTTCTTTCCTTGGCTCTCTTCTGACATTTTTTTCCTCCTCTTAGTGCACCTGCTCACTTCAGGCCCTGGGCCCCCAACCCCCTGGATTGGTCCCTCCCATAGGTAGGCCTTCTGTTTACTCCTAGATGACTCAGCCTTGGCTACATCCGCTTAACCCTCCAACGGTCCTCACTCAGCCAGACTGGGAACACTCTAGTCTGGTCGGTCCACTTTATGGTTCTTGTCTCACCTTCCCCCCAGGCAGTCCAAGTCTCATTTCCTGAGGAGAAGCCTTCCCATGCATAGCTGCTACTCTTGGGGGTTCCTGAATTCTAGTCAGGGGTGCGGCTGGAAATCCAGGGCATTCCTAACTGCTTCCCCTTGGAATGTGGACTGGGGTGCATGTGGGAAAAGCGGGTGTACCCCGCCCTATGAAAGTTCCTCCTGTAGTGTGTTTGTAGGAGGGGGTGGTTAAGAGACACTGGGGGGGGCCCACACTTGGCTGGAAGTTGGGGGTCCTCCCCCTGCTCTCCTTACCTGAGCCCTCAGCTCCTCGGCCGTCTTGAAGTAATGCCCCCAATCTCTGACCTGGGGTCCCTTCTTCTCCAGATGTTCCCGGATTTTGCCTTCCAGCCGTCGGTTCTCAGTCTCCAGGCTCCGCACTCGGTCCAGGTAGGAGGCCAGGCGGTCGTTCAGGCCTTGCAGGGTCTCCTTCTCGGTCTGGATGCCACTTATTCCCATCACACCTCCTACCCCGGCAGCCAGGCCCCCGGATCCCAGGCCACTGCGGAAACTGGTGGAGCGGGACACAGAGATCCGGGACCCCGAGCCCCCCGCGCCCGCATAGACGCTGGCCGCGCTGCTGGCGGGCCGGGCCCAGTGACTTGGCGCCCGGACCGAGCCCAGGGACCGGTAGTTGGTGGAGAAGGTGGTGGAGTGGGTGGTGAAGCTCATGCTGTCGGAGGAGAGGCAGGCGAGCGAGCGATCGCGGACTCAGGTTCGGGCTGCACAAGGTGGCGGTGCGGCGACCTAAGTTTTATCTCCGAGGAAGGAGGTGGGGACCTTCCCCAGAAGCCTGGCTCCGCCCTCGGAGCCGCAGAAGCCGGGGCCGCACAGGTGGACAGCAGGGGGTGGAGTGGGGAGGGACTCAGTGATTTGGGTTCCAGCCCTGCCTCACCCCCTTCTCTGCACGGCACCTCCAAGGCTACCTTCACCCCCCCCCCCCTTCCAAAACTAAATAAAAAGTAAAAAAGGAGGGTGACTACTAGTCAGGACAGCAGGTGACTGTGGGTTCTGGAGACTGTGGTTTCAGGGCAGGAAATGACGTTCTCTCCTTCCCTCCACCCATCGCCACGGTCAGGAGGGGCCGGTGGGTTGGAAAGTTGGAGGTTGCAGTGCACTGCGGTGGGGTGGGGTGTGTGGGATTCTCATATGCAAGTCCCTTACCTGCAGACAGCCTCTTGGGGGACAGGGGATTCTGGAACGGGGGTGGGGGGGGGCTGGGGAGGGAGGAGGACGGGAGGTGGTCAGTGCTGAGGAGGAAAAGTTGGAAGAAAAGGAAGAGAAACTCGATCCTGAGCTTCAGATCTCCTGGTTTACACTGGCAGCCCCTGGTGCTGGCCTGTCTACTTTGTTTGCTCACATTCCCTCACCAGATAGGTTCTGACATCTGGAAACTCCCCAGAAGGAGTGCAAGTCTAGGAGCCATCCTCCTGCCCTGCCCTGCCCGACTCATCCAACTTACTCCTAGTGGTGTGTAATTTGGCCTATGACTTGACCAGGGACCATGCCTCCAATGCTGCACTCAGTAGTTCAGCCTTAACCTACTGCACTTATTGGACGCCTACTGTGTACTCTCTGGGCGCTGGAGAACAGCGGTCAACAAGAGTTCACCAACCCTCCTGGGGACTGGAATGTGTGCCTCATAGTTGTGGGCCTGAGAGCAGACAGGATTCGCCAGTGGCTCATGCCTGAAAGCCTAGTTACCCAGGAGGCTGAGATCTGAGGATCACAATTTGAAGCCAGCATAGGCAGGAAAATCTGTTGAGATGCTTATCTTCAATTAATCACCGAAAAGCCAGCAATTGGAGCTGTGACTCAAGAGGTACAGTGCTAGCCTTGAGCAAAAATCTAAGAGACAGTATTTAGGCCCTGAGTTCAAGCTTCAGTAGCTAAAGAGCATGGCTAAGGTGTGTGGGCATGGGGGGCGCATTCTAGCAGAGACTTGGCCCAAGTTGCCAGCCCCCTGCGTCTTTCTCCACTGGGCCTTTCTCCTTCCTCTCCTACCTTTCTTTACACTGCTCTCAGGACCTCAGTACTGCTTCACAGGCAGATTTCTCCAGGGTGAGAATGGACGTAGGGAAGCTGGATGACCATTCCTTGTTGAATGATCTAGGAGAACTTCAGAAGTTCAAGTTGGTTAGTTCAGCAGCTCATTTTTCAGGCAGGGCCTGGTAGTAGGCCCAGGCCCTGCTCTTTGCTCTGAAGTGGACCATATTGATCCTTTGGCTATGCTGAGACTACTGGTGGCAGACACGAGGGTAGCTCTGGGAGGAGGCTGGCCAATGGACCAGCCAAGTGGAAGCACTGGGCAGATGTAAGGTGTGACTCTGGATTGTTCTAGGCCTGATGCCTTTAGTTGGATAAAGGCCCCTGACTAGGGGATGCTCCATACTGCTGAAGGCTGGGAGGCAAATGGATGCAAAGTACCACACAAATGGAATGCCCACTAGTTTTGCATGGAGGCTTGGATGGGCGTGAGGTTAGAGGCCCCAGCCATTTAAAGGGATAATACCTTCATATCCTCTTTCTGAGTTCTGGAATTATGTTATTGTGCAGAATTGTACAAGTATGTGGGTTACATGCATTGTGGACGGCTTTTTGCATTTTTTTAAACTGTAGGAGAGCCATCCTGGGTACTTTGCTGTGTGATTTTTGGGAAGTCATTTAACTCTGAACTTCAAGTTCAGAGAATAAAGCCTGTTCAGTCATTCTCCATGGGTGGCAAAGGATGGAAATGTTAATCCTACATTCCTGGACAGATACATCTTTCTTCAAAGACCAAATCTTCCACATCCAGGAGGGCATAGACAGGAGGTCAATTTAATTGTGTGTGTGTGTGTGCACATGTGCATGCCTGAGAGTGTGTGTATGCTGATACTAGGACTTTAACTCAAGGCCTGGGTACTCTTCCTTAGTTTTTTCTACTTTCAGCTTTTTGGAAGTGTTCTATCACTTGAGCTGCACCCTTTACTTCCAGCTTTTTGCTAGTTAACTGGAGATAAAGAGTCTCACAGACTTTTCTACTCAGCCAGCTTTGAACTTTGATCCTTAGATTTCAGCCTCCTGAGTAGCTAGGATTATAGGTGTGAACCACAGGGTACCTGGCAGAATTTAATTCAAAATATGGGGGGGAAGGTAATCGTGGAGGTGGGAGGGAAGGGATGGAGGAGGCAACAATGATCAATAGGAAATGTACTTATTACCTTGCTCATGTAACACTAACCCCTCAGTACGGCATTTTTACAATACAAAATGTACAAAAAAAAAAAAAAAAAGAACTGCATCTTCTCTAGAAAAAAAAGATAACTCCGGGATTGGAGATGTCTAAATTCCATGTGAAATCTTTGGGTATTAAAAAAAATCTACCTACTCTGGCCCTCAGAACCCAGGATTCTTTTCTAAGCAACTTCTCAGATCCTCCTCTGACCCACACCCTCCCTTTGCACACGGGTCCTTCTGGGGCAGTGGAGGCAACCTTATCTCTAGTTGCTAACATAGATGGCCACATTCTTGACCTCTTGCAGCATAGGGGCAAATACCGACCTCCTGAGTCCAGTGCCAGCCTGCCCTTTTTCCAGCATTTCCAGATTCCTCTGTGGTCAGGCTGTTCACCGGTCAGACCATTAATGGAGACTTGGGGGAGAAAGGTGTAAGGGAGGAGTTTTATCCCCAGATTCCCAGCACTGGGGCTCTGGATGGGGGGGGAGGGAGAAGGGGGATGGGGTGGAGTGAAGATGTAGAAAGAAATGCATAGAGGTGAAGTGAAGTCCTAAGAGATGGCAGAGTAGCAGGAGCTCTGTTGTGAAGCTTCCAGAATCAAGATGTATATAGAACCACAAAGTGGGGAAGGACTGGAGTGGGGACAATGCTTCCCCTCCCCCACTGGCCCTTCATTCCTGCTTAGGGGGAGGGGAACCTGTGTGGCAGGTTTAGCTCAGGAATAAGCTCAGAGGTGACTGAGGTGGGCGCTCCTGCAGTCTCAATATTTTCCCACTTGAGGCTGGAACTGGTGGCTCGAGATTAGAAGATCTGGGAGAGGTCCTTTAACCTCTGCTTCATCATTGAGGTAGCAAGTTTCTCACCTTGCTTGGGGAAGGAGCTGTTTAGAATAGTAACTGAGGGACTAGACTAGGGGAGGGTTCTGTACGTGAAAGAAAGGGCTGATTCCTATTATTATGAGCCCAGGCTGGTTTGGAACTCAAGATCCTTCTGCTTCAGCCTCCCCCCCCCCCCCCCCCCCCCCCCCCCCCCCCGTGCTGAGATTATAAAGGCATGTGCCACCGCCCCCTCTCCTCCCTCCCTCCTCCGTTGGTAGTCCTGAGGTTTGAATTCAGTTATGTACTTGCTCAACTGGCACTCTACTGCTTAAACAATGCCTCCAGCCCTGCTTCTTTGCTCGTTATTTTGAAAATGGAGTCTCGCGGGCTTTCCTGCCCGGAATGGGTTAGAACCTCAATTGTTTTGGATCTCAGCCTCCTGAGTAGCCAGAATTCTAGGTGTGAGGCATTGGTGTCCAGCTCCCATATTCTTGAAGAACTCAGGGTATTTAGAAAATGAGGGGTTCTTGTGTTGCTGGTGGTGGGGTTGAAGTTCTGCCCAGCGGAGGGCTTGCCCTTGGAAAGGAACCATTAAACAAAGGGTTTCTGAGTCTGGGCAGAACAGCTGAGGCCAGAGAGAGGAGGCAGAATTCAAAGGAAAAGGAGTCAGGGCCAGAGTGGATATAAAGGGGGAGTTCTGTAAATAGCTATGGTTTGAGTAATGAATGAAAAAGGCGTGCTAGGAGAGGTGAAGTGAGGACCCAAAAGTGGTCAGGTGGAGTGAGCCAGGAGGGGTGGGTGCTGGGTGCTGGGTCCTCTGGAGAGGGTGGGGTCACAGCTGGGTTGGTGTGCACTGGACTGAGTCTTAACTTCTGGAATTGCTCTGGAGGCCCCCTTCTGGATGGATGGATGGATGGATGGATTTGGAGGCCTAGGCTCACCTGTCCAGGTAGACTTGGGGTGGGGATCTGTGGGCCAGGTTCTCTGCCTCAGGGAGGAAGGATGGGATGGGAGGATCAAAGAAAGCATCTACACTTTCAATATCTTTGTTTCAATTTGTACCCAGGGATGTTCCCCAGGGATAAAGGAAGAATGAAAGTTAGTGCCCAGGAGCCAATAGCTGTTCCAACTGCCCGCATTGTTGAAGTTCCTTCACTCCCCTGAGCCCCACCCCAGCTTTCTCTGGCTCCCTCTGGGAGTAGCCTCACTTTTGTCATGCTCTATTCTGACCTTAGTGCAACCCCTCAAACCCAGAGCCATACTCCTTAGCCTGTTACCCCCATGGACTCTGCCCAGAGAAGGGTGAGGCCGTAGGATGGGACTTCACTTGATTTTAGCCAAAAAGCTGAGAAGTGGTGATGAACTGGGTATCAAAAGACTCCTTCAAGGTCTCAGTGCTGGCTGCATGATTTTTAGCCTTGGTCTCCTGTGCTGTAAGAATAAGGGCATAGAATTTCCTGGTGAATTCAAAGAGACTATCTGAGCCAGGTGTTAGTGTTTCACACCTATAATCCTAATTACTCAGGAGGCTGAGGTCTGAGTACTGAGGTTCAAAGCCAGCCCAGGCAGGAAAATCTATGAGATTTTTTTATTTTTATTTTTATTTTTTTGGGTCCGGTCGTGGGCCTGAACTCTGGGCCTGGGCGCTGTCCCTCAGCTCTTCAGCTCAAGGCTAGCACTCTACCACTTGAGCCACAGCGCCACTTCCGGCTTTTTCTTT